TATGGAACTCGGAATTTTATTGATGGAGAATAAACAACCCGAAAGTTAAATTTCTGCAAAATATGTGAAACTTTTATAGCTAATTGATGGAAAGAAGGGAATGACACAGAATTTTTATAATCTCCTAAAACAAATTGTGCCTTTTAGTGTGTTGAGATGAGAATTTTTTAACTGCTTGATTAATAATGTTGGGTGGAAAGCCCCTGTCAATAGCTATTGCTTTTAAATACTTTAGTTCTTCATCAAGGGCTAGTTTGGAGGAGCAAACTTGAAGAGCACGGAAAACATAGGAATAAAATGAAGCTAACTTTTGTTTAGTCGGATGACATGATTTAAAGTGTGGTGGAAGGCAAACCGATGAAGGTTTACGGTAAACCGAAGTACTGAAGTTGGACGTGTTACATGTGACCAGAATGTAATTCAATAATAAACCTTTGAAACCAAATCTAACTGCGAGAGAAAGAGCTACATTGCGTGAAATTCATTCTAACCCGGATATTATTATTTCAAAGGCCGACAAAGGTGGCCAGATAGTCGTCATGGATAGGAACACTTACATTGATGGTGTCACTAGACTCTTAAACGAAAGACCATATAATCCGATCGCTAGGGATCCTTCACCTTCGGACTTGTCAAAAATAAAAACTGCGATCAAATCTTCGCAAATCATTTCAGGCAACTTAAAACATTCACTTATCCCATCTGTTGCGAATTGTGCCAGATTATATGCTCTTCCCAAAATTCATAAAAGTGGTATTCCTTTCCGCCCTATTGTATCAAATTTAGGTACTGCCTCGTATCCATTAGATAAATATTTAGTTTCTAGATTTTCAACTCTATTAGACAATAACATTTACACCATAAAAAATTCAATAGAGTTTGTAAAAAAAGTTAAAACATTTCTCCTAGTAATTTACTCATGGTTTCTTTTGATGTAAAATCGTTATTCACCAATGTCCCAGTGGAGGGTGCATTAAGATGTCTAGAAACCAGACTTCGCGAATTTCATTTCTCTTGCATCGAAATTGATGAGCTAATTTCTCTCACTCAACTCTGTTTGAAACAAACACATTTTGTTTTCCAAAATAAATATTACAAGCAAACTGAGGGATTAGCCATGGGAAGCCCCCTCAGTCCCATCCTGGCTGATATCTACATGCATTATTATGAATCAAAATTGTTTGAAACTTTAAACTTCCCGGCATGGTTCCGCTACGTAGACGATACTTTTACTCTGTTTGAAGGTAATAAAGATGATTTAAATAAAGTTCTTTCAACAATGAATTCTATTGATCCTGCTATTCAGTTCACTTTTGAACTTGAGACTTGCAATTCTCTTCCGTTTCTCGACTTCTGGTCACACGTAACACATCCAACTTCAGTACTACGGTTTACCGTAAACCTTCATCGGTTTGCCTTCCACCACACTTTAAATCATGTCATCCGACTAAACAAAAGTTAGTTTCATTTTATTCCTATGTTTTCCGTGCTCTTCAAGTTTGCTCCTCCAAACTAGCACTTGATGAAGAACTAAATTATTTAAAAGCAATAGCTATTGACAGGGGCTTTCCACCCAACATTATTAATCAAGCAGTAAAAAATTCTCATCTCAACACACTAAAAGGCACACTCTTGTTTTAGGAGATTATAAAAATTCTGTTGTCATTCCCTTCTTTCCAACAATTAGCTATAAAGTTTCACATATTTTGCAGAAATTTAACTTTCGGGTTGTTTATTCTCCCATCAATAAAATTCCGAGTTCCATACTCAAGGACCCCATTCCGGATATGAATTCCTGGGGTATTTATAGGATTCCTTGCCAGTGTGGTTTAATTTACATTGGCCAAACTAAGAGAGCCTTAAAATTTCGCGTCAAGGAACATGAGGCATATGTTAGAAAAAAGGAAAACAGAAGTCTTCTGTTGCTCAACATTGTTGGTCCGAAAACCACACTTTCAGTTTTTCTGCTGCCAAAATTATTCAAAAAACATCTTCCATTGGAGAATTGGATTTTCTAGAGGCATTTCACATTCATAAAATATTTCTGTTCTAGTTAACGATCCTAATTCCAATCCAAATTTGCCTTCGGCCTTTAAAGAAATTATGTTTTAGTTCTGGTTTCACCAACAGATGGCGCCACTTGCTTATTCTTGTCCAGGCTTTCTTATCTTATCTAATCATTATTTCCTATCTGGTTCATTTGTGGTTTTGCAGCTGAAGATGGTGGTTCGGTAAAACCATCGAAACTGGTCCTGTGAAAATTTGGTAAATATAACGCTGATTTTTGTTGTTTGACTTCTGAATTAGTATTTATTCGGCATGTTATTGTGTCTTAAATGATAGTTATTTTGTGAATTTTATGTTTGTAGGAATTTGGTATATGTTTTAGTTGAAGTAAACGTGCATGGAAATAATTTAAATATTTGACACTAAGTATTTGTAATGTTTGCGGTATGAATTCGTTGGTGACGTTTATAATATAATAGATAATTTAGAGGTAAAAGTTTTTGGACATTTTATTTATTTTATACGTGGAAATGTTCATATTTGGAAAGGGTATACTTTTTCGTTATTAGGTAATTTCATATATGTTCTTTTTACCGGGTTTAAAGATTCAGAAAATTGTCACGTATTTTCGTGAAATTTTTCTAATTTATGAGAAAAAAGCAGTGTACATGGATATAGTGAAGAGTGTGCACAATGCCATTTTTGTGTAATTCTGGGATGTTTTTTTTAAGTAAAAATAAGTCGACGTGTACATGGTTTATGTGTATGTGTTATTTTGAAAAACGCGTAAGGAGTATGGTATTGTGCCCTTTTTCCCAATTTTGCAGTGAATATTTGTCATGATTAAGCAGTTTTGTTAGATAAAATTTCTAGCATAAGTGTAATTCGGCTAGTAGATTGTTGGAAGAAGTGTTCAGTAGATAAAAAGAAAAGAAACATGTCTTTACTTCGTGAAGACAAAATGGCAGCTGGAAAAAAAAATAGAGTATTGCTGTAGGAGAGTTGGTCGCCAAATTATAGCCAAGTTACCATAATCTAAAGATCAACCAAAAATTATTTTAAAATACAAATTTAAAAAATAAATCGTATAAAACGGGTGAATTTTATTTAGAATGAACCTAAATTTCAAACTGTGAAAGAAAGAATCAAGTGTTAAAAAATGAGAGATTAATAAATGCATACAAAACTGAATTAACATTGAGGTGCTAAAATTTTGAGAACTAATTTTTTAAAAACTACTAGTGTGATTTTTACATAACTTGGCAGTTTGGCATAATTTGAATCGTAGAATCAAAACATGGAAAAAAATTGGCATGTTATTTCAGGAAAAGTCCAATTTTGTGTCAAATACCTATATTATATTAAAACAATGCTATATATAAATATAATACATATCCTAAGTTGCGCTTTTGAGGCATAAAAATTGCAATTTGAATTTCATCAATCAGCCCCGTAGAACGAGAGATATAGATCTGTCCTGCCCCCTCTTTTTATTGTGTAGTGTACATACATTTACACATTTTTTAATTCGTTCTCGATAACAGAATACTACCAAATATTTCTTATCACATTTCAATGACAGTATTTTGGGCAGTACAGTATATAATTTCTAGACAGTTTTAAATACATTTTTTGGTTAATCTATATTTTAGGGTGCCCTTTGGATAATTGACAAGTTGTTGTTTCATTTATTGCCAAATTGTTGTTTCATTCATGATAACCTGAGTAGTTGAATGTTACGGAAACCCTATTACGATGTGATTGGTTGTGTGATTGCAGTGAATTTGACTGATGGGATAATATTCGTAAGGGCTTATTTCTGCATTAGATGCCAGTTAGGAAGTACGTTACTTATTTTGTGCTGTACACTGTAAAATGGCTGTATATGATGAGAATAATATGAAGTTTCTGTACGATTTGGAAACGAAAGGGGAAAAAATGCATTAATTGATTGGTGTGCAAATGAAGTTTTACTTAGTAGTCATTGTAAATGTCTCTTTGTACAAAGGAAATGCATATGGTCGAACGTAAAGATCATTCAGATGGCTTTGAATGGGTTTGTCGCAAGAAAGGGTTATGCAAGAAATGTCACTGACAGTCCAGCACTACAGAGGACATTTTTTATTCTTATTTTTGAGAATTTGTGCAGTGACGGCAGTATGCATACTCAAATTTAACAATTTTAGAAAGTTTTCTAATGCTGTTAAGGAATTTTGTGTGCCACAGACTGAAGACACAGAATTTCTAAATATGGTAAGTCGATATTTCCTTTTTGCATATATGCGATAACACATATTGCCTTTTTTGTTATTTCATTGCACGACTTAAAATATAGTTTATTGAGCTTCAATTGACTACAAATTTTGTTCAATTTTAGTGATGAGTAACTTTTTTAACATTATATGACTACATCATTCTGCTTATTATTATTTTTTTTTAAGTGAAAATAGATCAATGTGTACATGGACAAAGTCAAGGGAGTGTGCAATGTTGAGTTTGTGCAATTCTCTGATTTTTAAGTGAAAATAAATTGATGTGTACATGGACACTAAGTTTGTGCAATTCTTTGACTTGTTATTTTGGTTTTGTGTAGCAGCTATCTTGAAATTGTGCTTTACTGGCCAATCGCCAAAAATTGCCAATTTTTGCCAAGGGGCACCCTGAATTATATTTTTACCCTGTTTTCCTATCGTTCATTTAAATGTCGCATGAATTTATACATCAAAGTATTCTCCATAATAAAAATAACAGCAATTTTACATAATTATCTATACTTTTATCAGTTCATGACATTTAAGAAAGGATAATTTAAAAGAATCCACCTTTTAACTATTTAAATAAAATTAATTTTTAATTAGTGATATCATAGAATTTTATTCTAAAAATTTTCTTGCATTACAAATTGATGCTAGCAAATAAAGATCCATCAGCCAATAAAAGATATTCAATCAGTTCTACATTTAAAAAAAAAAAAAAAAATCCTTAGAATTTATTTTTCATAAGATCTCTCATTATTAAAACATCTTATAACAATAATTTTTTATAAATACATCACATATTATTCAGTATTTACAGGCAATTTACCCTGCAGATGTTATATCAAAAGGTGATATAACTTCAAAACCATTATATTGTTTTGGGTATTCTTACTCCCATCATTTTTCAACTTTAAAAGGATCTATAAACCTTTTCTACAGAATTTTTATCATAATATATACAGCTCCAAATGCATTCAAAACACTCTTTTGCATTACAAAGGGGACTACAGTAAGCACATCTTGGTTTCAAAATTCAAATGAATTTTCAAATGAATTTCTGAATTCAAATGAATTTTTAAAATAAATAGCAGAAGACTAATAATCTAGTAAATTAATGGGTTAAACAAAGAGTCCGACCTTAAAATCTATATTAATGTAACCACCTGAAACATTTTTTGCTAATGTAAATATTTCCTCACAATTCTTTCCTCATTTCTGATGAAATCTTACATAATATTTTGTTATTTTCCTCATATGTTTAGAATCAACTGATGTTCTAAAAACTTCTTAAACAAAATAAATAAATAATAATAATTACTTTTTGTAATTTATACACAACAGTCATGTTACTGAAGAAATCATAAAATTTAACAGCACTATATGATTATGAAATACAGAATACAGCATAACTAGTAAACTCCACAAGGAATCAAGAACGTAAACTGTTTCACTGAATAATATAAATATATTTAAATGTTTAATACTGGAAAATTTCTTCAACATCTACATGCAGGAAAAAAAAAAAAAAAAAAAAAAAATTCTTTTTTATAAGCAAATATGCTAGAAGATGGAAAATCTTGCATTTCCTTTACAAACAGACTTATGCTGTGGTCGCTTTAAAGTGGTGAGAAATTTTTATCGAGTAATAAGAAAAATAATGAATTTTTGCTCTCTTAAATTTCTCTGTGGCTATACTTAGTTAAGTCAAATCCTAAAATAAGAAAAAAATAACATTTTGCTTTAAAACTTCTCAAAGCAATTCTTCAAAATATATAAAATTAAAAATGAATAATGGATCTATAATTTTTTTATGTTAATGCAAATAATATATTAAATGTTTTTATAATATTATAAGAACATATTAAAAAACACTTACCTTAATTTGCAAGACTTCAGCAATCTTGTCAGAGAAACGCAGTTGCCTTCAACAAAACTTCCTTTTATGACTGTTGGGACAGCACATGTTCGACAAGCAACATATAAGGCACAGGCCAACCATGTAAACTATCACCCTAAATATTATTATATTTTATAAATAATTTAAGCTTCAGTTTGGAAAAAAATTATTATAATACAGTAATTATTTTTTTTTTTTAACATTTAAAAGCATTAAGCTTATTTTTTCATTTCAGCTGATTAATTTTGATTTAAATTTACCTGTCAACATTACTTTTTTTTTTTTATTTTCATATTATTACATTTTACTGTTTTCCTTTTGCTTTACAATGAAAAAATAATGTTTTTTATTTTGATTAAATGACACAATTTATGTTAAAATGTATGCAAACTCTGCTATGAAAGTCATCTTCTACTTCAGTATATTACCAGCATTATTCTTACTGGGTCATAACTGACATGACGACAATGTTTGCAGTGACATCAATCACTCCCAATAGAAAAAAAGACACAATAAATTAAATGAATACGTAAATACATACACATATATATGTGTGTGTATGTATATACATATTTAGCTTGTTGCTTTCTGGTATTTTTAAAAAGTCTATAAGAGTACTACTACATATTCAAATTTCTGAAAGCTAATATAATAGTTAATAAATTACTAGTTAAAACTATAGCAAACAATTCAAGCTTTGACTGGGATTTATTAAATACGTTTCTGTAATATAATTATTACTCAAGTTATAAGCTACAGTAATTCTGAAACAGATCTTACAGATTCTCATAGAGTTCAAATGCACTTTAGTAGATGTTTACTGATCTAAAAGAATGACACTACTTTCAGTGGCTGCTATTAAGCAAATCTTTAGCCCCTCCTGCACCCTCAAAAAAAGTAATTGGCTGAAGCTAAAAGGATTAAAATTTCTTGGATGTAATTCACCTTTTAACTTGTGTTACATAATTTTTCAGATAATTTGTAACTTTCCTGTTAATTCATAATCAATGACAAACATTAAAATAATAAAAAGAAGTAAAACGATATCTCCATTCAGAGTTGTTATTATATAATCAGTTAAATAGAGATCAATTGTTTTAATTTGAGAGCATCATAGATTTTCTTTCGTTTTTTTTAAATTTTTATACACACACTAGATCTTTTCTTTACAAAATCAATAGGCAAGAAAGAAAGCAAAATTTCCTCTAAAAGTGAATTGTTTAAACCGCTTCTATAAACATAATTGTTGTCACTTAAAATAATGCCGTAAATTACATAAACACGTAAATTACAAAAACTCCTGATTTAAATGGTTCGTTGCAAGTAAATGACTCTGGTGCACTAATCTACATGAGAAGTTACAGTTAAAAAAATATCATATTTTACAATTTTTATAAATAATCTCTAGTTGCAGAAATACGACATTAAGTGAAAGTAATCAATGCCAGTTCAGGGAAGGGGCTTTTAAACAATAATATAAATAAATGAGCTGTATAAATACATGATATCAGACATCTACGCTTTAATGTATGTTCGTATATGATGCAGGACATTAACAAACTAACCCTAAAATATTTCTAGATCTATAGGATGAATAAAATATACATACAGATCGCGTACATGCCCCTTCCCTTTAAACATGCATGTATTTAATAAAAATTGAAATACAAAAGAAAAAAAGGGGAAAACGAAACTAATATAAAAGTAGCATAAAAATGCAAACTGTTTGAAATCTATCACATATGTACTTATTAAAATACAATTATACAGATAAATCTATACCTCTAATGTATAAGTATTACTAATCCTTAGGAAAGATTGCCACGCTTCGTCAGTCGCATTTCCATCCATATTCAAATCAGCGCATAATGCTTGAAATCTTTCGCGTATTTCTTGCTCATTAGGAATTGGAACACTCATTTTAATCACAAAATGTTTCCTATATGTCCATTTAATTCTTATTAAAAAATCTTAGCTTGCATCGGTCACGGACGCAGGATTGGCGGGAAAAATTTATCTATCAGCTGACCGAAATATTGTATTATTCCGCGAGCAAGTTTCTGAATTTTATTAATATAATCTTCGGCACTTTGAGCCCTTTAAAATTTCTCCATTTCCTTTAATTGCAAAATTAAAAAATTAAAATCGGTTTCGAACACAATTTTCATTTATATTTACGTTTTCCAAATATTGTTCTAATGGACTATTTACACATTTCCTATGAGCGCGTCCTCGGACTAGTAAGAGCGCGGGAAAACTTACTTTCCTATTTCGTTTGTTGCCAGACCCCTGATTTAAATGGTTCGTTGCTGTTTGGTTTTTATATTGCTAGATGCTGGGAGAACAAAGAATAAATTCGCATATAAAAAAAGCAAGAGTTATTTACCAGTTCGTCTGATATCTCTATAGATTTTCGTATTTCTTAAAAATTCCATATAGTAGTCTACAATAAAGTACCTGAATAAATTGAATTTTGAGACTTTATATTCATATTTACACCCAAAAGTGCCTTAGATAAGGGTAGAGCTATTAGAAATTATCCTTTAAGGCCCGTCTACACGTAGCGATTTTCTCGGCCGACTTAGCGACTTAGCTGGCCGACAATATCTGAGATAGCTCGCCTCTCCACACGAAACGATTTTTCTCGTTAGTACAGGAACTCACTCAGCCAATCACTGTGAAAGGAAGTGTTCCCGCTCTCTACAACGTCACATTGTCTACGATTTGTAAACAAAGCTTACAGTGTTGTCAAATAGTCAAAATAATGGATGACTATTTTACTTTAAATTGCTACTATAGATACAGCTACGGAAGGGGGGGAGAAAACACGTTTGGACCAGAAATTGGGTCAAATGACGAGAAATTCACGGTGCCTTCGTAATACCCTGCTCCGGGAGTTGCGTATTGAAGACACGGTACAATTCGGAAAGTATTTACGGATGATGCCGCGTGATTTTGATGTTTTGCTAAATTTAGTTTGCAGCAAAACTTTAAAAAATATATATGCTTTTCCTTTGTGTGCTGAGTACACAGATTACTAATTTTTTTATTTTATTTATTTATTTATTTTTAAATTTCATTTTCTGGCATTCCTATTTGTGCACTTAAATCTTGAAATAATAAAATAACCATGTTTCAGAAAAATAAGTAACTACTGTGCTTTAAATCAAAACCTTTATTAATGAATAAATAGACAATAATGTCATGAATATCAAACCAGTATGAGTAAAAAGTAGTAATAAAGAATAAAGATTACTACATTACAAAGCAACAGTGTAATTTCAGTGCAAAAATTTCAAATAAGAAATATCGTAAAGGTGCAAAGTCTTAAGTAGTATATTTATTGAACATTAAAAAACTAAGATTAGCATAATTAAATAACTAACACAGTCTGAAAACTATGATCATATTAATCTTTCAGTTAATCAGCTAATAAAATTTAGTAATATTGTATTAAATTGGGCTGTAATTTGTTTTCGCAAAACTCAATTAACACAAAACTGAGTTTCGAACTTGTGACTTTCTTTTGACTAGTAGAAACGTGCTAACGGCCATTCAAAAAATAAAAAGGCGTTAAAATTCAATAAACACCATACCCGTAGGCGAAAAAATAAAAAGTGACCTTTAAGTCATGCAGTTCGAATTTAGTGATCGAGAAACGAAATTAAGAAGTTCTTGAAGGCGCAAAAAGTCCAAAATTAAGTTGGGGGATCGAAACCATGATCTCAATGTGCGGAGGAAAGTTGCTCTGCTCTTTACCACTGGGCTATGATCGCTCGGATAGAAGGTGTCGGAAAAGTTATGTACTTCGTCACTTGATTAACTCCCATTTTCGGTGAAGTCAATGAGTCTCTGCGCTGCTTCAAATCGGCCCCTAATTTCTCGACTGGAGATTTTGCTTTCTGAATTTTTTCAATAAGTCCGGCCACAGTTTTCTGAATATTTTCATCTAGTACCCATGACATGGCGTCATTAACAGTTTTGGGAACTTTTCTTGGGGAAGTTAAAATAATTTTCACCCCGAATAGAAAATATTTGAATATATAATAATAAGTAATATATAATAATAAGTAAAAACACAAATATTTTGTATGCTTTACGCATGCGTGTAATGCGTTTACGCATGCGCGTTTAATGTGTGCTTCCGATAGTGAAGAAATTGACAGACATGTTATTGAAAACGAAAAAATTTCGATTGACAAGTTAGTCGGTATTCTCCACACAGCAATTACAGGACTTGAACAGTGGAACTTTGTAACTGAACAAGAAATTGTGTCTGTTTATAGAATTAAAGAGAAAGTATTAGCACAAAAAACGAAGCAACTTATATAGCTATATAGAAAGAAATATAAACTATAAACTTGTATATTTGTTTACTAATAAAATAATAAATATTTATTAAGCTTTTTTTTTTGTAAATTTTGATACCCTTTAGATTATAATTGCCTATATTTCATAAATTACGGTTTCATATTTTTAATTGTATAATTTCTGCATGCCATCTTACCAGATTTAAAATGATGACCTATAATCCGGAAAAACCGATAATCTAGAATCGTGGAAGTCCCGACGAGTCCGGATTAAAGACTTTTGACTGTAGTTGAATGTTTTAATTCTGATACTAGAATCTTTTTCTTAACATTTTTATCTTCCATTTATTTTCTCTACTTTTCACTAGATACAAGCATGGAAAATATCAAAAACGTCTCTAATTTTATCATATGGACAGGCGTTATAGAAAAGACTTTTTTATTAATAAAGAAGTTGAAAACTGACAATTTAAATGATTCATCTAATATGAATATATAATAATTCGAATATATAATAATATTCATCTATAATGATTCATAAAACAGGAACTATTACCCTCCACCCCCTGAAATATTTGACGAAGAAATAGACTGGATTAAGGAAACCAAATACCTTGGAGTCACCCTGGATCAAAAACTTACCTTCAGAACCCACTTCCGCTCTGTAGCACAAAAATTTTTAATCGCCTCAACTATTACGCAACCTCTTCTTGGTAGAAGAAGCAACTTATCTTCAACAAACAAATTAATTTTATATCGCTCTATTCTTCGTCCAGCCCTCCTTTATGCAGCTCCGATTTGGATACATGCAGCTAAAAACAATATTAAACAATTACAAGTACTACAAGTTAAATTATCAATACTACTTGGTATATTCCAAACACTTATATTCACAGAGACCTACAAATTGAATTTATATTAAACAAGACCATATTAAACGCTTAGCTGTCACCTTCTTTCACTCAGTACAATCCCACAGTAATAGCCTTATTAGTACTCTCAGACACACCCCGCACCACAGGTAAAAGCATCATTATCCCTGTGACATCCTACCCACATAACAAATAGAACCAAAATTGGCTCATTTACGCTTAATTGACTTTACGGTTTCACCCGCTGCTTCATCTTGTAACATAACTGACATCGCCCCCCTTTCGCCGCCGCTGGCACGGACCAGATTCTCTTCTCACCCCTCTCACAACACTGTTCTTTCTTTTTCCTCTTGATTGCTTATCAGAAGCCGGGTAGAAAGATGTTTCTACATCTTGACACTCGAGAATAAAATACGATCTACGAAAAAAATATTTGGCAAATTTCGTTCAAAAAGCAATAGAAGAGGCTAAAGTTATCCAGAAGGGTGATGTAGTACTAATTGAATTAGACAGCCGAAAGAGACTTAACTGGCAAAGTCACAAAATTGTTTCCAAACAGAGACGGGTGTATACGTTTGGCAAAGGTAAAAACCTATTCAGGAACTTTTGTACGACGGATTCGTAAACTTTACCACTTGGAGATATCTACGAATGATGATCTAGTCATCAAATTGGTGAACTGTATGAAAATTTTCAGAACTCAATTTTAGAACTTTAATTTTTTATTGTTTGAAATTTTCATAGATATTAGTTTTTATTTCATTATATTATTTTTGAGTTATGATGTAAATTTAATTCTAGGCTGCCACCATAAATTAAAGGTGGAAGTATGTTAGGTATTCATGTTAAAGTGTTTCGTTTTCTCACCAGATGACGCCTCGGGTTCCACCAATGAGAGAAAATATAAGCCTTGTTGTTTTCCTTTTACTTTTTTGTGCAATATAGACAGTTCAGTTTTCGAGTCTGTGCCTGGATGAATGATTTATTCATACAGCCATGAGTGAAAAGGAGAGGCTGTACAAGGAATAGTAATTAAATATTGATTTTTTTTTTCATTTTGAATGTTGTATGTAAATAAAATTGTGGTGTGAAGAAAATGAATTGTGTTTTCTGTAAAGAAGATTCTTCTTGCTAGCTGATATATCACCATTCCAGTTCCGACGCATCAGAAAAGGTAAATGAAGTTTCTCTTGCGTTTAAATCAGATTAATTAGTAGAACTCGCTGAGCTTCAATAAACTCGCTGAGCTGACAAAGACTGAGCGTATGTGATTTAACACAAATAAAGCTGACATGATTGGCTTTAAAACTTCTGACAAATCCAAGTATTTTCCGCACAAAGACCTGATGAAGGATACAAATGTACGGTTAATGGTTTAGAACCACCGTCATTTCCTACGGCCTTTGATGCGAGACAAAGCCGATTTTTGTCAAACAATTGAGTTAATGTAATTTTCTGCAATATCGTCTACTCTTCGAGTCACAGTGTTTGCTGACAAACGGATGTTTTTTAAATGAACACAGAGTCATGGAATCCTTTATCAATGCGCCGTCAGTAAATGGCTTCTCATGCTTCCCCATTGAATGAACCACGCGGAAACTGGCGCGAATTGCTGTTTCTTGTCAGCATTTTTCGTTTTTAAACAATTGCTCAGATTTCACGTGCGTTTCAAAGCGAATATTGCTAACCGTAGGCTATCTGTAAAATCTGGAGTAATTCTGAGAAATTTGATCTCATAATGACGTTTTATATCGCATTCTTAGAGAGCTGATATTGTTTCACTGCAAATTATATATATTTCTTTGTTACTTGACTCAATTATGAAATATTGATATCTCGCTTGTTCTTTAAATGTTCTGTATTCACTATCTAGTTTTCGTATACAAATTCGCACCAGAGGCAAGTAAATTCAAATCAAAATAATGCCCTTGTTGTTGCGAACTCAAAATGTATAACTGTCCAATTCTTGGTTGTCTCCCGTAGCTATACCACGCGTCCTCGGACCGTATTCGAAA